GGGAGCCCGATGTGGGACTCGATCCCGGGACTCCAGGATCATGACCTGAGCCGAAGGCAGTCGCTTAACCAACTGAGCCACCCAGGCGCCCTAACACTATATTTTAAATAGATATTCGCCACTGGTGTGACATGCCATTTTTACCTTTTCTAATTTCCTGCAGATAACCACAATCTGTTTGTGAACTCTGTTATCTTCTATGAAGTTTACCTAGTTCTCAAGTACCATGTATAATCATCTCTGATGTTCAATATTTCTGAATTCTTCAGATAAATTTATGTTTAGTTTTTTGAATGGTTTAAATATTTTCTTTAAAATGTGAGCTTATCAGGTTAACAATTATTATAGTTATGCTCTTCCCTTTGCTTTTAATTATTTTTGTCTTTAGTGTTTGTTTTGTTACTGATTTTTGCTTTGTTGTTTATGTCTGGGTTTTTTTTCCCCTTCATACCATCTCAGTCCTTGAATTGAAAAGGTTTTTAGTCCTACAAGTTGTTAACAACCCTTATGTCTTGATATATTTTTAAATCTGTATTTTAAAATTCATCCACTTGGGGCACCTGGGTGGCTCAGTCGGTTAAGCATCTGCCTTTGGCTCAGGTCATGATCTCAGGGTTCTGAGATCAAGCCCCGCATCAGGCTCTCTGCTCAGCAGGGAGTCTCCTTCTCCCTCTCACTCTTCCTCCATGTTCTGTCTCAAATAAAATAAAATGCATCCATTCAAAACATCATTTGATTCTCATATAAAAGATGAATAAATTAGGTAACTAACATTACTTCCTTTCTCTTTGTTCATCATCTCCCCACTTTTGTTGTACTCATTGGGATTTTTGGCCCAGTTTATTTTTTTTAATTAATTTATTTTTTCCCTGCCTTGCTTGAAAGCTGTTTTTTTTTGGTATGAAAGCTAGATAAGAGTTTATAGATTATATATTACAGTGGAATCAGCCTCAAGTGAGATGGCTACAGTTTATTCTGTAGCTTGTAGTATGGATTTTTCCTGCTTCCAGTTCTCATAGGTTCAAGAAGAGGATGTTGGTAGGTCACTTATAGCCCTAATGGTGTACATTAGTAAATAAGAAATAAGAAAAAATATAAATAAGCATCCAACTCAAGATATTAGAAAAAGAACAAAAAGAGTCTAAGGAAAACTAAAATAAGTTATGTATAGTGACTTACACTGCTGGAGATAAAAATAGGAATAAATGAACTAGAAAATAGTAGATTTAATGAGAATCAAATTGGTGCTTTTTTAGAAAACCAATAAAATATATAAACTGTCAAATATATAAACAAATGAGAGAAAACAAAAGAAATAATAGTAAGCAGTGATGCATAAGTATTTAAAAAGAATCATATATAAAAAAAAATATGAATCTATTTTCCTCAATTTTCTGTAAATAATTTGAAAACCTGGATGAGATGGGTAATGTTTTAGGAGAATATAAATTACTGCAACTGACACCAGAAGAGATAGAAAATTTAAACAGACTGGTTACCATTGAAGAAATGTAGAAAGTTATCTTAGAACTGCCTCCCCCGAGAACAGAAGCAACAACGCCAAATAGTTCCACAAATAAGTTCTGTAAAACCCGTAAGGAAAAATATCATCAACATTGTTTAAAATGTTCCATGACAGAAAATAAAAAAGAGAAATTTAAAAAATTGTGTTTATGAAGACAACATAACACTTGATGCCAAAATCTTACTGAAATAGCATCAAAAAAGGAAAATACAAATTTCAATTATGAATATTGGTACATAATTTTAAATAAAAAGTCATATTGAAATAATACACCAGAGGCCAGGAGGGTTTATTCCAAAAATGCAAAGATAGTTGCATTGCCTGACTTTATATAACTATTTTCAAAGATCTCTGTGGTCTTCAATAACTGATTCACATGGTTTCACTTTGGAAGTTTCCATTCTTCTAGCCTTAAGTAAAGGAGACATTTGCTTTCTTAATATTTTTCAGACTTGGAATATACTTGGATGACCAAGGAATTATCTCCAAACCAGGGCATTTATGAAGAAAAATTATCCCAGGCAATGATAATGGAAAGACTTCCAAGCTATGACCTTAAATGTTCCACATTAGGGGTAAACTGGAAATGTGAAGACCTGTTTACGAGGGAGCTGGTAAGTCAGAAGACATACTTTAGTCAAGAGACAGTCACTCATATAGATACCCTTATTGAGAAAAGAGACCACTTTAACAAATCTGGGACAATTTTTCATCTGAAAAGATTATCTTATCTAAAGCAGGTATTTCCCATCGAAGAGAGAATATATAATTTTGACACAGATAAGAAAAGTTTAAAAACACATTCATTTGTTAAAAAACACAAGCAAGTCTATGGAGAAAAGAAACTTTTGAAATGTAATGACTGTGAGAAAACTTTCAGCAAAATCTCAACCCTTACTCTTCATCAAAGAATTCATACCGGAGAGAAACCCTATGAATGTATTGAATGTGGGAAAGCCTTTAGTCAGAGTGCCCACCTTGCTCAACATCAGAGAATACATACTGGAGAAAAACCGTTTGAATGTACTGAATGTGGGAAAGCCTTCAGTCAGAATGCTCATCTTATTCAACATCAGAGAGTTCATACTGGAGAAAAACCTTATCAATGTAAGCAGTGTAATAAAGCCTTCAGCCAGCTTGCACATCTTGCTCAACATCAGAGAGTTCATACTGGAGAGAAACCCTATGAATGTATTGAATGTGGGAAGGCTTTTAGTGATTGTTCATCCCTAGCTCATCATCGAAGGATTCACACTGGAAAAAGACCATATGAATGTACTGACTGTGGGAAAGCTTTCAGGCAGAATGCTTCTCTTATACGCCATCGGAGGTATTATCATACTGGAGAGAAACCGTTTGATTGTATTGATTGTGGGAAGGCTTTCACTGATCACATAGGCCTTATTCAGCATAAGAGAATTCATACTGGAGAGAGACCTTACAAATGTAATGTGTGTGGGAAGGCTTTTAGCCATGGCTCGTCCCTGACTGTACATCAGAGAATTCATACAGGAGAGAAACCTTATGAGTGTAGTATCTGTGAGAAAGCCTTTAGCCATCGTGGCTCACTTACTCTTCATCAAAGAGTTCATACTGGAGAGAAACCCTATGAATGTAAAGAATGTGGGAAAGCGTTTCGGCAGAGCACACACCTTGCTCATCATCAGAGAATTCATACTGGAGAGAAACCTTATGAATGTAAGGAATGCAGCAAAACTTTCAGCCAAAATGCACACCTTGCACAACATCAAAAAATACACACTGGAGAGAAACCTTATGAATGTAAGGAATGTGGTAAGGCCTTCAGTCAAATTGCACACCTTGTTCAACACCAGAGAGTTCATACTGGTGAGAAGCCTTATGAATGTATTGAATGTGGGAAGGCCTTTAGTGATGGTTCCTATCTTGTTCAACATCAGAGACTCCACACTGGCAAAAGACCATATGTGTGTCTTGAATGTGGAAAGGCATTCAGACAGAGAGCATCCCTGATTTGTCACCAGAGATGTCATACAGGCGAGAAACCTTATGAATGTAATGTTTGTGGGAAAGCCTTTAGCCATCGTAAATCCCTTACTCTACATCAAAGAATTCATACAGGAGAAAAACCTTATGAGTGTAAGGAATGTAGCAAAGCCTTCAGCCAGATTGCCCATCTTACACTTCATAAGAGAATTCATACTGGAGAAAGGCCCTATGAATGTAAGGAATGTGGGAAAGCCTTCAGGCAGAGTGTACATCTTGCTCATCATCAGCGAATTCATACTGGAGAGTCATCCTCAATTATTCCCTCCTCCTCACCCCCATTCCACCAAGTCCTCTAGATTCAGTCTTCTAAATGCCTCTAGGATCTGTCCACTTTTGTCCAGTGTATGTCCCATCATCATAGTCCAAGATGAACCCATCTCGTTTTTATTCTTACCATAGTGTTAACCATTATCCCTCTTGCTCCCCTCAAGTGCATTTTTAACACTGTAGCCAGCTTAACCTTTTAAAAATAAAAATCTATTTTACTTTCCCATTTAAAACATTTATCTTTAAGAATATGTTAGATAGTCCATTTAAAGGGCTTAGCACACAACCCTTGACATATAATTAGTGCCATTAAGGTAAAGGTTTCCTTGCTGTCATGTTCAGCTGCCTGTAAAATCTAGTAGGTTAAGACTAAGAAACCTGTACATTTTAGAGAGGACAAAGGACTCTTCTGCTTCCCCAGGAGGTAGAAAAATGAACACATTCAGAACTGAAAGATTCTGTGATGAACAAGGTCACGTGTTGGCTTACCACGCCCTGTGTATGACTAAATACAAGGACTTGTAGCATTGCTGATGAGGGACTCTCACTTTGCCTGGTGCTTAGAAGTTAGAATAAGCCACTTAGAACAAAGGCATTTGGTAGAATGTAGGATTAGCCAGATACTAAGAACAAACTAAAGTCAGCAAGCTAGAAAACTTGAGTAGATTAATAGCCATGAAATAACCAGAAAAAGGTAGTTTAACACTTTCACCTGTAGGAAAGCACAGACAATTCCTGTGATGTTTGAATTCTTCTAGAGCATAAAATAAATACAGTAAAGCTGCCCATCTTACTCTATGAAACTGACAAGACTGGTACCAAAACAAAAACATATGCTGCAGTTAGCTTATGAATGTAGATCTTAAAACTTAAACTCACTTTTTAAATATTAAAAAGTAGAGTAAATGGAAAGCTAGACCTGTCTTTGTATAGAAAGAGTCTGGCAAAGATATTCCTCCCTGTGTTAAATATGTAAATTTATCGATAGTCCAATAAAAATACCAATATATTTTTAAGTTGATGAGCTGATTCTGACCATCTGTAGAATATAGAATTGTGGTATAGTAAGGAATGTAGTACTCACTCACTTAACATTAACTGAGCATTTACTAACGTGCCAGGCCGTGTTTTTAGGTGCTGGGGATACAGCAGAGTGCAAATATGCAAGTTTTTGCCCCTACAGACCTAGTGGGGGAAGACAAAGTTGAAATACATACTATGTGATAAGTATGCAATATGTACCACGATGAGAACTCACTGAAAGAGGGAGCTAGGGAGTGATGGCAAGGAGTGCCTTACTATTCCCAGAACATATGGGCATTAGAAGCAGGGAACTGTCAGATACAGCGGGCATAATGAGAATAGTCATTTTAGTCCTAAGGTAGATAATTATGCTTTCAGTGTTGCAGGAAGAGAGAACTGAGTGTTTAAGAAGGATCATGAGAGTTCTCTTCACTCTTTATCAATAGTGACTTTGGGTCTGGTGGAGGGTTTTTTGTTTATGTTTTTTTGTAACAGCCTTACTGAGATATAATTCACATACCATACAATTCACCCACTTAAAGTATACAATTCAGTGACTTAGTATGTTCAGATTTGTGCAACCATTACTACGTTTCATTACCTAAAAAAGAATACCCCCACCCGTGGAGGAGTACTCTTACTTGGAGCACACAGTGCTTTTGGGGTTCTCTCTTGACTGCTACCTGTGACAGCAAAGTAGGCCATGTGAGGGGATCTCTTATCCAGAGGGCATGAGTGCTAAAAATGAAGCTTTGGGGCTTTCTTTACTTTGGGATAGAGAGGAGGGGATGGGTCGTCCTATTAGACTCCCCTTACGTATGATAAAAAGGATTTTTCATTGCGGTGGGGGGAAGATGGATTAATCAAGTGGTGTTGGGACACTTAGCTCTATGGAAAGACAGGACTATACCTTCTACACTAATGAAGCTCTGAAAGATCAAAGATCTAAGTACAATATTAAAGTACAAGAAAAACAATATAACTTTGAGGCAGACCTTCTTAAGTATTACCCATAACCCAGGAGCTGACATTAAGATAACATTTATGTGTGGAAAATATCAAAGTCAAATATACAAATATGAGATTGAAAGAAAATGTTTGCAAACCAACATAACAAAGGATAATAATCCCTGATATTCAAAGCATTATTACAAATAAATAGTAACACCGGGAATTCAGTAGAAAAAATGGACACAGCTAATGGCCAGTTCAAAGAAGATGAAAAAACAGCTAATGGAAATGACCCAGTATCACTAGTAATCAAGGAAATGCAAAATAAAGTGATGTTAATCTACTTTTTTCCCCCAATGATTTTAAATCATAGAAAAGTGATTATATCTAGTGACTGTGTCAAAAACAAGACAATTCCACTGTCGGTTATATAAATTTATGTGTGTATATACCGTTTGAATCATTATTCTTCAAAAACCAAAGTGTACAAAGGTAGGTAAATGTATAATGGCAAAAATTATTTTTAATGGTGAACTCAACTCTATTAGAAACTATTAGGGTACTGGGTAAATGGGTAAGTTAATTATGGTATATGCATTCAATAGAATTACATGCAGCTGTTGAAAAAAGAAGTATAAATGTGTATATAGCCATAGAAGGATAGTTGTATTACACTAAATGAAAAACATTTTCAGTCTGTGTTCTAATATAAACTCATAGTTGTAATATCAAAAATAAAACTTAAAATATGTATTTTTCTGTTTTTCTCTGCCCTGTTTTCCATGCCTCCTCCCTTTGAGTACACCATCTCTTCTTTTCCTTTGAGCAGCTGACATACTATACTATATGGCTTTGATGGTCTTGGCTAATCAGATTCTCTCTGGAGTTTGAGAGGCAGTTGGGTCTGTATCATCCAATGGCAGCTCCCTAAAGGGACGACACTGGTGTTCTCATGGCTGAGATCTTTGGGGTCACTCTAGTTTTTGTGCTTTCTAAGGCTGTAATTCCTCGAACTACCTGCCATTCTTCCAGTACTTCATTTTTTACCTACATTGCTCATTTGCTTGCAGTTAAAGAAGCTTAACCAATACAGAGTTTGGTATGAAGATTAGGTGATAGGCCATAGAATCTTTGGAAAATTTGAGGTATTAGGAATTGGTTTTTAGGTGAGATGGAGCAAGTAAGACTCCCGTTTCTTTTCTAGCCTAAGAAAGTGAGAGCTCATGGTGTGCCCTGGGTAAACATAGAAGTAAATTATTATTTGTAGTCACCTGAAATGAGTAGAGGTCAGGATCCTGGATTATGGCAGCTTAAAGAGAAAGAGGAATGCTAAGTCCAAAGAGTGTATATGATGCTGATGGGGTCTTTGGAAAGTGACTAGGTCATGAGGGCAGAGTCCTCATGAATGGGATGCCACCCCAGCTCATGGAGTAGAGGGGGCCACACCCCATCCTTGTGTCCTCCTGAAAACCAACTCCACACCTGGCGTGTGCACTGAGAGCCTGTAATATTGGTAATGCTGTCTGACAGTAGGTCCTCTCTCTCTCTCTACCTGAAAGTAGGATGTCCCCTATCTGGCATCTCTGATGCTCAGGGCATCCCCCAAAAGACAAATTGGCTCTGATCTCCTCCTGCATTTTTGGGGCTGGGTCATTTGTGGATTATTCAAATAAAAATGAACCCCATCATGGAACCAGTACTCGTGAGTTAGGAATGCATAAGACATCCTAAGGTATGGGCAGAGGTGCAGGGCACCTGGACCCACAGACCTGCCTGAGCATCACCAAAGTCCCACCTGCTGGCTGGTATGGATCCTGATCAGGGGCTCTGGAAGAAACAGAGGCTCAGCCTGCAGCCCCCACAGTTCCTCCCAGGCTACCCTCTCCTGGATCCATTTACCCTTCACACACACACACAAAGACAGCAGCAGCAGTGGTATTTCTGCATTGAAGGAACCAGGTACCTGCCTTGGTACCATCTGGTTCCCAGAGCTTCTCCTTCAGGGAAGAGGAAAGGCAGAGAGTGTTAGCCCCCAGCTGTTAGCCTTTGGGTGAGGTCGGGATGGTGACTGTGCCCAGAAGAGGAACTTCAGACCCTCAGGGCCTTAGGGCTTGGTCAGCTCTGGAAGAGCCTCTAGTCAGACCACCTCCCTAGGTGCCTTAGTTTGGGAGGGCTGTCATAATGAAATGCCACAAACTGGGTGACTTAACTACAGAAATGTGTTTTCTTACAGTTCTATAAAATTGAGGTGTGGGCAGGGTAGGTTTCTTCTGAGGCTTCTCTCCTTGGCTTGTAGATGGCCACCTGCTCTCTGTGTCTTCATGTGGTCATCCCTCTGTGCTGTCTGTGCCCTAACCTCTTCTTATCTCGTAAATTGCTGGTAGGGGTGTAAGATGGCACAGCTATTCTGGGAAACAGTGTGGCAGTTTGTTTAAATAAGAAAAAACCAAAAATACAAATACCGTGTGACCTAGAAATTGGATCCCTGGGCATTTATCACAGAGAAATAGAGATTTATGTTCACACAAGACCTGTCATAAGGAAACAACAGTGAAAGGGCAGTCTATGGAATGGGAGAATATTTGCAAACCAAATATCTGATAAGGGTTAATATCCAAAATATTACCACAATGAAAAGAAAAAAAACACAAAAAACATCTGGAATAGCCCCAAAGTGGAAACATCCCAGATGTGATACCCAAATTGTGGTATGTCAATACCATGAAATAGAATTTGGTAATAAAGTAATAAACTGATAGGTATAACAACTTGGATAAATCTCGAGAATTATGCTGAATGGGAAATAAAAAGCCTATTGTATAACATTTTTGAAAAAATTATGGATGCAGAGAACAGATTATCGATGGGGTTACGGAAGGATGAGGTCTGGAGGAAAAATGGGTGTGGTTATGAAAGAGCCATATGGAGGAACCTAGCGGTGATGGAAATATTCTGTATCTTGGCAACATCTACATCAATATCCTAATTCTGATATTGCAAGATGTCATTGTTGGGGACAACCAGATGAAGGATACAGGGGATCTTTCTGTATGGTTTCCATTTTATTTTTTGCAACTGCACGTGAATCTACATTTATCTCAAAATAAAATATCCAGTTAAGAAATCATGAGTCACCACCTAAGATTATCTAGCTGATTTTTATATTTCTGTGGTCATTCATTCAGCAAATGCTTTTGTACCTGGATTCCAGGTTTATGGGGTAAGAGGGTCCCAGCCAGGAGACCTGGTTCCTCCCCCAGCAGCCCCACTTGGCTCTTGTGTCTGCATCGCTCTCCTCACGTGGAAAGTAGCTTGGTTGCGAGGACCGAATTGAGTTCATAAGTCATAAAATGCCAAGTACAGAAGCCGGCACAGAGGAAGCATCGTAAGAAGGGTCAATATTTTCTCTTACTGTGGTCAGTTGCTTCTTTGCTTGAGGGCAGATCAGCGTGAACATCGGGTTCTAGAAAGCTCTCCGGAATTGTCCCTCAGTGTGGTCCTTAGGCCGGGCTGCAGGATGGCACAGAGGAGTTCCTCTGCCTCTACCCAGGACCCCTCCTTTTCTGGAATTTTCCCTGCCAACTTCTTTCCTGCCCCCTCTCTTCCTCTCCCGTCTTCCTCCTCAACGCTGCTTTGCTTTCTCCTCCTTCCCTGTTCCTTCTCCCACCTCCCCCTCCTTTCCCCCCCTTCCCAGGCCTCCCCTCTCCGCCCTTCCCCTCCCTGACCCTTCGCCCCGCTCTCTCTCCCTCCTCCCTCTCCCCCTCGCTCTCGCCCCGCCCTCTCCCTCACTCCTCCCCACACACACCCCGCCTCCTTGGTAGCGGTGCGGCTGGGACCTCCGGGAGATGGAAGGGCGCGATCGGGTCTCGGGTGAGCTCGGCTCCGCTCGGCTCCGCTCGGCTCCGCTCGGCTCCGCTCGGCTCCGCTCGGCGGGAGGCCCGAACGGAGGCGCGGCGCGCGGGCCTCTGGGTAGTGTAGTCCGTCCGACGGCGCAGGCGCAGTGCGGCCGGGCGGGCCCAGCGGGCGCGGGTCATTGTCCTGGC